AAAAAAAAAATATTGTGCATGTAAAGATTCAAAAAAAAAAAAAAAAAATTTCTTTGGTTCTGAAATTTGAAAAACGATAATGTTGTTAAGAAGGTAAAAAAAAAAATCTAATTTTCGTTCAACAATTATTTGGCCATCAAAAAATTTTTACTTCCGTTTCCCTTTCTCCCCCTCCCCTCCCCTCCCCTTCCCTTCCCTTCCCTTCCCCACTGCACATCGCTCGTCTCCCTAAAGAGTTCAAAAGCTTCAAGTTTTGCAATGAATCAGATTGTTGACTGATAGGGCAAATAATGGCAACAATATGTGTGATAAATGAATGATGATGTCTTAATGGTGCAGAAATTAACGCCACCGATAAACCACTTTTGAGTCATTCAACAATTACTTTTTTGTTCTTTTCTTTCTTTCAAATTCTTATTTTCAAATACGTTTTTTTTTTTTTTTTTTACCTTACAGCACCGATGACAGATGTAACTTCTCGACGGTTAACAATCTGCAAAGTATTTATTACAACTTTAGCAGTTCTAATAACAGACTGCTAAATCAAAGCTATTACTGTTACTACAACCAGTATTAATATCAACGTACGGCTTCAAGTTGTAATTGGAGAACAATTTGATAAGGTTATATTTACAGAAAATTAAACCAGAAAAAAAAAAAAAAAAAGAGAAGAAACCATTTTGCTGTAGTCGTCTGGCTATTGTCAGGTTAAAAATCTTTCTTTTTTCAATTTCTTCGCTTTTGTACAATGAAACAACGCTGACAATTAGTGATGTTAATCCTTTAATGCACAATAATTCTATTGAAAGTTAATTAGCGGTCAAGAAAGCGGCCAGATGTCACTAACAAGGCTAAGCTGGTAGAACAAAGATTGAATTTTTCTTTTATTTCGGATAATTCAACAATAATAGCAATCAGATAGAACAGAAGAAAAGTAAAATTTTTTTTCTTTTTGATTTTTTTTTTTTTTTAGATATTTTACAGTTTTTTATAACAATCAAAAATTGACATCAACAACTTTCAGTTGTTGATATACTGGAGGAAATGATGCTAAAATTTGATATATTTCAATCATATCATTGTCAACTAATTAGTAAATTTTTATTGTTACTGCAATTATATTTCTGTTGATAAATGCACTGCGGAACATTTGCTAATGACAATGGCATAATTGAATTGGTAGTATTGCTAAGGGTTAAAACTTTAGTAAACGTTATTACCACATTGACTGATGCAGAGGAAGTTCAATTTGATGCCCAACTAAACTTAACAACGTATAGCAGCACCAAAGCATCAACTAAAGATGATGTCTGATGATTGACTGACCCATTCATCCATCAATAATGGACGATGGTCATAGCAAACAACAACGAGCGTCAGTGTATTACAATGTAAATTACAAATTGTTTGTGCACCGTTCAAATTTATCAATATGACAGCTTTTATCACAACTCTCATTTATTACCATTCACTTTTCACTAATCAAATATAAAAAATTGCTTTTCCTGTTAAGGCAATTTTTACCGGTCATAAAATTTCCAAAAAAAAAATTTTTTTTTCTTCTTTTTGACTTAACGTCAGTTTTTTTTTTTTTTGATACAGATAGTTGCCGCGAAATTATGCAAACAAAACATTTGTATCCTCATTATAAATCGGATTATTTTAGGTTGATATTATTACTGATTGGTATCTTTTCTGGGCAATTTTTTTAATTCATTAAGTTCAACCGCAGACAGACGAACCACCAAACACTAAACTTCACGGTCACAGCAGTGTATTTCAGTAATTTCAAATTTTTTTCTACCACTTTTCCTTTCGCTGCAAAAAAAAAAAAATGACGCATTTAATCAGCCTAATTCAACTTTAGAATGCCCAACAGTGTCATCAAAAAACTTTTTGGAAAACTAGATTGAAAAACAGCTAAAAAAAGCGAAAAAGAAAACAAGAGCAATGTCTTTTGTGTAAACAGTCATAAATATTTATCAAACATTATACGCGTATTAAATTAACTTTAAAATAAAATTTCCCAAACAGTCAAATACAAATGAATGAATTACTGTTGAATGGCCACATAAATAAAAACACTCGTCAACCAGTCAGTTACCAACTATTTGGCTTAAGTCTAAAGATGTAAAACGGCAGTCATTGTTGGTCAGATAAAACAGAAAAATGGTAACTAAGCAAAGAGAAGAAAGCGGATTTACTTAGCTGACCCAATTCAGAACGGTCACTGAAGTGAAAGGATCAGCCATAAAATGTTGCTGAAACAAGTTATAGCGAAAAAACTGCAATTATAAGAAGTGAAAAGAAAAAGTTGCATAAACAATCAGCGAAAAATTATCGATGAGACTAAAAAGATTTTAAGAAAGAGGCAAAAAAAAAAAAA